ATAGGAGACTTTTTCCTCTTTGTGACTTTTCTTTGGCACACAGTACAGTTGTCCTCTGGTGTCCAGCAATCTCCCTGCTCAGGAACTTGGCTGACTTACCAAAGATGTAAGATGCTATAGGAAATGCTCCCTCATGTCCTAGATCTTTGTTGACCTTAAGGGGCCAGGCCAAAATATTGGCTGTCTTTTTAGCCCAGTTACCTTTTTAATTCTAATTGTACATATCAGGGAAGAGAATTAACCTCTGAGAGCCTTGGCTTCCTTACTGAGAAATGGGAATAATAAGGCCTTTTAAAATAGATAATAAAGGCAGACCGAGCATGTGCTTTTGGTACCTGTGTCACCCCCGTTCAGCCCATCTCTCACTTCTACTGTTCAAGAAGTGCCCTGGGATCTGAGACCCAGTTTGGGAACATCCTCCATCCTGTGTCTCTGCTTTTTAGCTTCTGGTTTTTTACAGAATAAATGGGATTATGTGGCTTCAATTGAAGTCATACATAAAATAATCCTATGTTCTGATTTAGGAAGAACACAACACATCAGAATCTGAACAAAAGTGAAGGAAGAGTACAGATTAGAAAGAGAGGGACTGTAATGAGTTTGCCATGATTTACATCTCCCAGATTGATGTGTGTTATCATCTACACCAAAGAAGAGTGTAATGTATTAACCTATTAATAGCCATTTGTCTCTATCTCCTGAACTTTTTTTTCTTAGTAAGTCATGGAAATTTACTGTAAAGATTTAAATATAAATCTGCAAGGATTTGGTTTAAAATCATCCCTGTTGTCCAACCCTAGAGCAAAACGTTGTGTAGGGTCTTAATAGTGCTCGAATTTTCTCACTCTGAATCAGATCATTTAAATATGCAAGGTGTTAAACATGACACAAAGAGGAAAAGGACAGTTTGTGCCTTTGAAGAGGTAGAGCTTATCTGAAGGAAAAGGAAAGGGCAGAAATACTTTTATTGAGTATTTAGGTGATAAACACATTATATGTCCTATTGTCTTAACCCCCAAATCTTCCAGAGATCCTGGGTTCTTCTTTGTATAGATGCAAAGAATTCAAGGTGGTTTACAACTTTACTTAAACCTTGAGACAGTTCATAAATATTTGCAAAGTATAAGCTATATGGCCAAAAGAATTCAGGGAAAGGAAAATAGAGTTGACTTGGGATAAAATAGCACACAGGAATGTCTCCCAGATGGCTGTATGCAACTGCTTGAGAGGGACTGCATATTTGACTTTGAGTTTCCTAAAGACCAAAGTGAAAAGAAAAAACAGCTAAGGTTTGTTTTGGTTCTATTCTCAAGATAAAATTGAATCAGCTGCGAGGAGCAGTTTTTCTGTGGAGGCTGGAAAGCAGATTGTTCTAAAAGTCTGCATGAAGAGGGCACTGTGTTGTAGCGGGCATTCACCCAGATCATGTTCCTACTGCAGAAATTGGAGAGCTGTTGCTATATGAGTGTTTGTCATCATGTCTCTCAGTGTAAATCCTTTGCAACAGCCCATTTGAACAAAACCAGAAGAAAATAAATATGTTCTTCAAATAATTCTCTGTAAATATTATCCCTTTTTTATGATACTGGAGTTCAAACCTAGGGATACTTTATCACTGAACTACATTTGCAGCGCTTTTTGTTTTTTTATTTTTAGGAATCTTGCTCAATTGCCCAAGCTGGCCTGAAACTTGCAATCCTCCTGCCTCACCCTCCTTAGTGGTGGGGATTATAAGTATGTGCCTCTGCATCAAGCTAAATATTATTTCTTAATAGTATTTTAATTTTGGCTTATTAGAATTAGGGTTCCCTCATTGCATTTGGTGGTCTTTTACATCTTTCATTGATAACAATGTCTGTTCTCTTTGTGGTTTACCTTGTCATTTAGTTGATGAAAAAACAAAAATCATTTGTCTTGGAGAATTTCCACATTCAGGATTTGGTGAATTGTATGCTAGAGATTTCACTGAATTTTGAATAATAATTACTTTATTTCCATGATAAGAAAAATTTTACTTAATTTCATTTCAGATTTATCTGGCTTTTTTTTTCATTTAGATGCTCTATTTCTCTTAATGTATAACTTTAAATCCTTTATTTTATTTAAAACATACTCATTTGGTATCTGATAATGCCATTATCTGAAGTGTTCATGGGTCTGGTTCTATCATTTGTTGTTTCTGATGACTCTTGTTCACAGGTGCTTGTCTCCTGGTAGATTTTGGTTATTCGGACTGTGAGTTCCTTGTGGGCTCGTATTTGTTGAAATTCTGTCTGAGAGACTTTTATGAGATTAAAGTTGAGAGTTTGTTTCTCTGCATGGATTTCTGATTGCCTTTGGCAATAACTCAGGGCATGATGGACTTGAGTCCACTCTAAGTGACATGAGGTTTTTCCGAGCCACACAGCTTGCATGACTTTTTAGCCACAGCAGTCTTTGTGTGGCCAGTTTTTTCTTCTGTGTTTTAAAATTAATTAATTTTAAAAATACTTCTTCCAGAGCCAAGGTTTCCTCTGTTCTTGCCATTGCTGGACAGACTCTGTTTATTTACTATTTTCCTGAGAGAATAGCTGCTTGTGAGTCCAGGCCTGTGTGGGTAGATCTCCAACCTAGTGGCCTGTCTTGTGCAAAGGCTGCAGTACACTCTTTCTCTGACTGCAGTCTCAGTTGGTTTGGGGCCCACCCACTTATTTCCTAAACTGCTTAATATGCTTATGTACTTATAAAATGTGTATACATTATAATTATGTAGCCTAGTATATTACTATACATTAGTACTACTTGCTATGTATATAAAATAATATTATAGATGTTGTAATTTTGGGGGGGTACCAGGGATGGACTCAGGACCTTACGTTTGCTAGGAAGGTGCAGTGCCACTGAGCTAAATCCCCGGCCCTTTAGATGTTATAATATTATATACGTATTTTAAAGCATTCTCTGTAGCTGGAGAACTTCAAAATCTCTTACCATTTTGCAAAACTAGAAATCCTCAATAGTCTGGGCCTTTCTTCAGTCAGATTCAAATCCAGCAAGTCTGTGTCAGGCCTGAACCCAGGGAACCTTTCAGGACTTCCTGTACCCCGTGTTTGGGGATCTTTTGCATTCCCCTACGCTAATGTAGAATACATTGCTGAGTGTTCCCGTGTTCCTGGCTGGGACTCATTCCTCACTACTACCCCGGACGTCATCTCATTCCCACAAAGCTGTACCAGCAGATGGGCAGCCCTGCTATGAATACACAGATCTTCACTTGCTTCCCCGACTCCAAGTTGCTCTCTGGAGCCTCTCTGATGTTTCATACGTTTTGTCTCTTGGGTCTGTAGGCTGTTGGAACCTACACTTTCTGGGATCTTTAGTTAGCATGTTCGGACAGCCCCATGTTCTTCCCCAAGGGTCGGTTTCTACAACTGGATTCATTTCCCCAACCACCTCCCTCCCTGCTCCACTCAACCTCAAATGCTCCACTGCAGTTTGGGTTCCAGTCAGTGGCTGGCCTCAGCCTCCTGTTAGGCCTGGATTACCAAAGTAACAGCATGCCTGGTGACGAAACCTTGAGCAGCGAAAGCAGTGTTATTTTGTGAAAAGAAAAGTATTAGTACAAAGCCCCTCTTGAGCAATCCAACCAGAGAAATCCTCTTCCTTGAATTCTGACAGAACTTTATGTGTGCTACTCTTAAGGGCTCGTTCACCCTCTCCTACATGCAGTAGTTACTTGTGTAAATGCTTGTGTTCCTTGCTAGACAGTCAGCTGCTTCAGAGTAGGACATGATACTGGGGTCAAAAGACCTGGATTCAAATTCTGATCCTACCATATCCCAGTTATGTAACTTTGGGCCTCTGTGTCCTCCCCTGCAAATTGAGGGCAGTATCCAATTCTTTATCTAAAAATTGGGGGAAAGATGTATTCAGGAAAACGATTTTAGAGAAGTAAAATAGGGTATATAGTATATATGATGTGACACCTGGTGTACCCTGCTGTCAAATCCCTTCCCTTTTCTGGTAATAGGAATATTCACAGGAAATAGATTAAAACAAAGAAGGCAATTACACTCACGTTTCGTTCGGATTCATTTTTGTTGCTAAATAGTTTACTAAATGACTTTCAGTTTTACAGAGCTTTTGGCTATTGTAATTGCAGATTAAAGGTCGTGGGCCTGTATTACCTACCTCGCCAAGGCGCTCAGTGCAGTTGATAACATCATAAAGTTCCCCCGACCCTGAGTCCAGCACGTACATAATAAGCTCACTAGATTTCATGTGAGACTGATTTTTAGCCACTTAATTGTATTGTTCATGAGAAGGCTGGGGATTGAACTCTGGTCTTTATGCTTGCAAGGCAGGCAGCGGACCCACTGAACCAAATCCCCAGCCCTATTTTTATTTTTCTACTCTTCTTCTTCTTCCTCTTCCTCCTTCTTTCTTCTTCTTCTTTTTTTTTTTTTTTTTTTTTTTTTTTTTT